CGAGCACAGCTGGACGACACGCTTTCTGAGATCAAGACCTTGAAGGCGAGTGGCGCTGGTTCTGCAGGAGCTGGAAGGGACAAGGAATGGGCGGTTGTCAAGGAGGAGCTTGCTCGTGCGTATTCATTCAAATTTTCTCACATTACAAACATGTTTGAATGTTGTGCGCAGGTCAAACATCCCACATCACCCAACTCACTCGACACAACGCCCAACTCACACGTCAACTCCAAGAACAACAAAACGCCGAACTCGTTCGCGAGGAAAACCGAGCTTTGCAGTCCAAAGTCTCTGAACTGGCGGCCGAAGTTCAACGGATGGCGCGTACCGAGTCCGAGTTGCGAGCCTCGCTCAAAGCCAAAGAGACTGCCCCTGTCGAGAGTGAGAAGAGTATACAGGAGAGGGAGGCAAGGGAGGCGGAGCTGGCTAGGCTAAGGGTCCAGAACGCTGCGTTGCTCGACGAGGTTGGCGAATTGAAGAGCGCGAAACACTCGAGGAGTAGTGACGTATTAGGAAAAGAGGGAGAAGATGCGGGAGAGGACGATGACGCTGAAGCGACGATTGCCGAGCTCGAGGCGGATGCTGAGAGGTTGCGTGGAATGGTCGCTGCGTTGCAGGTCAAGGTTCGGGTGGGGTCTGAGGAGCGAAAGGTTCTGCGGGGTATTCTGGTGAGCCTGTCCGTGTCACAGCTCCTCCCCCGTCGTTTTGTCCCTTTGGCTTCGTGAACAAGTTTGCCTGATGATTGTTTCTCGTACAGTCATCAACATACCCAGACTCCGATGGAGCGCTCGCCGCACGGATCGAACAGCTCGAGAAAATGCTCGAGCAAAAAGACTCTGAAACCGGTGGTGCGTGTTTGAACCTGTTCTACGCCGCCTCGCAACTAAGTATCAATCCTCTCGAATTCTAGTCGAACTGGGCGACGTGTCGATGCGCTCTCAGGTTGGTGATGCGACGTTTAGTACTGTCCGATGGGAAGCCGTACGTGAACGGGAGAAGCGTGAAAAGGCAGAGGAGGGTACGTCGTCCACCAGTCTTGGATTCGGACGAGCGGAAACCCTGACCTTGTGACCTGTAGAAATCGCCGAGTTGGCGGCCCAGATCGAGGCACACGAACAAACCATCGAGAACCTCGAGCAAACATTGTTCGAGTTGAGGGGAGAGGTCGCTGCTGGTACCCACGTCCAGGTACGTCGTGCTCCGACAATCATCACCCGGTTTGCTCATACATTCATATAGCCCGGAACACGCATACTCCAACTGGCGGACAACCCCGAAGCGCGTTGGTTCGCGATGAGGGAGGAAGAAGTCGGGCGAATGCGAGAGGAGATTAGTGTTCTCCGGGGTCGGGTCGCTGAGGGCGGTCAGGTGCATCAGAGCACTGACTCGGACGGAGGTGTACCGAGGGAGACCTATGAAAATCTCCAGAGGGAGAAGGAAGAGCTGGAAGAGGTGGTGAAGCAAAAGGAGAAGCGGCTGTTGAGGTTGAAATCGGTGGGTTGCTTGTCTGCTATGTGCTCTTCATATATACTAACTCACCTTGAATCTCCTTCAGGTCTTTCAATCTAAAGCAGTCGAGTTCCGTGATTCAATATCTTCGCTCTTGGGCTACAAGCTTCATTTCGAGCCAAAACATGTTCGACTCACGAGTGTTTATGACCGAGACATCGATCTTAAATTTGCGTCGGGTGGTGGGAATCAAGCAAGCATGGGCGTAAGCCGCTTTCTTTGCCTATATATTGACCTATTTCACTCATCGATCACCTGTAGCCTATCCGAATCGGCGGTGGCCAAAACAAGGACGACATCGAAGCCCAGGTGCTTGAACTAAAGACGCTATGGGTAGACCAAAAGCAGAATGTACCATGCTTCTTGGCGAATTTGACACTGTACGCTTATGAGCGTGCAGAGCTGGGATTAAGTGATTGGGCTGGACTGGACGGATGATTTCGTGTGATGTTGTGCTTGTAGCTTTTATTTAGTATCAATGGTCTGGCTCATCTAGTTGCAGATGGGAAGCGTTGTTGGTTGTTTGGCGAGCATGCCCTTTGAGAATCCGCATCGGGTCCCCCTTGATAACCTGTTTTCTCGACAAATAAAATGTCCAGGCCAGCCCGCTTCGACTACAGGACTAGAAGACCGAGAGGGGCGCGAAGGCGAGGACGAAAATGTAGAGGATTTCTGCAATTAGTAGAATGATTCCGAATGAATGAATCATCGAGCGGGTCAGTAACAGGGCTAGTAAGCTAGTCAGTTCGCCATATGCGTAGTATATGCGTAGTCGAATGGCACTCTGACTCGACGGTTGTACCACGTTCATGCCGCGGCTTCTAGCAGGACATATACACGAAGGGGAGAAGCGAGGAAATTGAAAAGAGAATAAGTTCATTGCTCACCCGTATACATCATCAACTAGTACGAATACTGTTAAGAAATCATAGACGGAGCACATCGAAGAAACGATGCGGGCGCCGGACACCCCGGGAGCACTATGTGACCATAGACAAAAAGAACAGGGTAATCGTGTTACTAGCCTAGACTTAGTACTCTCTTCTGAACATCCTGGCAAGACTTTGACTATTCGCCTGTGTTGGAAGACTAGTCTGAGGCAATGTATTTGCTACAAAATCGACTGTCTAAATACATGAACAAGACAATAAGATAAATACATAAAGGAGCATAGAAACAATAAGGAATCGCGCATAAAGGTGTCGTCAACCTTTCGGCGCTTGTTCTCCAACAGCCTGGTGTTATTGTGATCCACTGATCCTAGGGTAAAGTAGGTGACACCCATATCATGCCCTCGTGACCGATAGGGACCGTCCCGAGCGTGACAAGACCACCTCGAGGCTCGTTCCTCTGGGTTGGGCGCAGATTTTCGCGGATTTTCTTTAGACAAAAGGTACTTACAGGCTTGAAATATGCCAATATACATTCGGTTTGGCCGATTCTTTAGACTGTTCGGACGCCGCATCGCTATCAGTAGTTATCGCGCTCAGGTAGCAGCAAAATCGCACTGCCACCCAAGCTAAGCGAGAGCGTGTCAAGGCGCGTCGAGACGGCGGAGGGAGTTCGGGGCCTTTGTATGGTTTAATTTTTCATGTGGGATTGGAATCGACAGGTACAGGATCACTCGCTACAGTAGTGGATAGTCTGTGCCGCTGGAACTCAGCCTCAATCTCTTGTAGGGCACTCGGAGGTAACATTCGGTGTCTACGACGCATACAAGTTGAAAATCTGACTGTATATTTGTGTTCCACTACTACCATACCAACAATTGTCTTACCCGATTGTCGAAATTCGCCCTCGTTGGCCCAAAAACCAGCACTTACTGGCGACTTCATATGTCTCGGAACACCCTGCTTCGGATCAAAGGCCAGTTGGCGGTGAATGGATGACGCCTCATTTACGTATTCAGCGAAGCACGTGCTTTCTCCACGCTGGTTCTGATTTACTGAAGGACTGATCACGGCCACATCTAAATATATTCACACATTGATGGAAACAAAAAGGCGTTGCTGGATACAAAACAGAATAATAGATAACCGCGCCACGTGAAATCGCAAACAGAACCCTCGAGCCCTATAAAAATAACGTATCCGTCGTGATCGTCATGCGCCTAGACGTTCGAACGACCATACGACTGATTGGGCGCAGAAAACTCATAGTTTTCTTTGCCATCATGATGCTGAGTGAGGTTATCGGTACTCTGGCCCAGGGGATGATGAGGATAATACGCAGCACCCGCCGAAGGAGTCGAAAACGCCGCACTCGTGCTCTTGTGCGTATGGCGATACGACTGCTCGTTTGCCAGCTGCTCGACATAGCGCGACACGATCAAAGCGCAATACCCATGCACCAACAGCGTGACGATAAACACTATGATGTAGCCAATCTTCCATGCCTTGGTCGCGACTTGGCATGCTCTGGATATCTCCTCGGGCGTGAGGTTTTGGCTGACGGGATCAGCTTTGACTTCGGTGATGCATTTTTGGATGTTGGCGTCGTTTTGGCGGTAGAGTGTGTAGATGAAGAATGCGCCGGATGCGAGTTGGAAGCCGACCATGTACCAGAGTGCTTGGGCATAGGCCGAGACGAACGAGTACCTTCGGGTGATCGCTCCGATGAATCTGGGGGAGATGTGAGTATCGGATATTGCTCGGGGAGAGATAAGCGCTCACCCTAGGATGGAGAGGAAGAACAGGAAGGAATATATCGATCCTGCGACGACAAATGCGACTTCTTGGGGTTTATCGAGGGAAGCGTGGTTGCCCGTCTTGGACACTGAAATGCCGATTAGCAAAGAAACAATCGAATGGGGGTTGATGCTCACTGTAGACTGCATACCAGATAACCGCCGCGTAAGCACCCGATCCAATGATTGACCCGAGCGAGAGCACAAACACCCCAAGTCTGACGGGCAGGCAGCAGCAGAAGTGGCGCGTAGGAGACATGGCTTGGGAGGTGGTGGCAGCCGACCGGGGCGATGGGGAGGTTATATACCGCCTGGGTGGTGCATCGCCCGATCGGAGCTGTGCCGTAATGAGAACTGACCAATCACAAGCCACACTGCCACCACGCGTCTTCTTCCATTCAGGGTCCTATTCATTCCCGTGCCTGCCGGCTATTCTTGGCTTTGCCTTCAGACACTTGGCCGTTGCTAGCCAGGACACGACGCTGTGCGCTGGTCTTCTCATCCCGAAGAATCTCAGTTCGAGTTTCAGGCGGTCAATATTGTCCGAAAGGAAGCACAATCCAGTGAAGCATGGCAAAGGAAGTCGCATCGTGGTGTGCTTCCAGGCGCCCCGCTAGGTCCGCACCGGTGCACACCTTCCGGTGCGCATAATGACGATGAAGGCTTCGAGGTCTGATATTTTGATCACGAAGCAACCGAAATGGGCCAGCTCCTTGATAACCCAAGTTGATTGGTGAAGTTTGTGCGAAATGAGTGTAGAAATGAGTCACCTTTTTGGATAACATATTTTTGGGCCGATGACCAAGCCTTTATAGCTCAGTGGTAGAGCGCATCACTCGTATACGCGTACCCGATGATGAGGTCCATTGTTCGATCCAGTGTGGAGGCATTTGTTTTGCCGTCGCTGAGCTTGGCAACCCCTTCAAAGCCAAGGCGCATTCCAACCCAGCCCTACATCTAGCCCGATGACCGACAAGACCTATCTGGCTCCTAAGACCGAGTTCACTAACCTCACATTAAACTAATACGAATTCTATTGTCCAAACGCCCCCTCATGGAGGTAACAAAAAATACGCACATCTCAACGTGAATCATTATCTCGATCACACAGCACACGTCAAACCCCACACACCACTGCTCGCTCCAACCCACCACCGCCTCGCCATCCATGGCGTCCCAAGCGCCGCCACCTTTTACCCAGCCCGAGCGCCACACGCTCATTCATCCATCCGTCTAGGCGAACCCGCCGAGCGTGACAGCCAGCATGGTCAACCACCAAGCTCTAAACAGGCTTCCAAACCCTTCTTCATCAATCATCCGTCGTGCACAATCCGACAAGCCGATATACGGATCTTCCTCGCTGCGCAGCGCAATGACGTCTTCTTCTTCGCCGATATAATCTGCGACTGGGTCTGCCATGCCGTCAATGGCGCAATCCGCATCGGTCTGTGGATGGTTTCGTTGGACGCTCAGGCGTGTGGCGAGGACTTCGAGCGGGCAGAGGATCGCAGTAGACGAGGCGGAGAAGAGCGTGAAAATCGTGAGGTTGGTCGGGTTTAGGAATTTAGTCATTCGGTTCTGGTCTTCTTCATCACGGGCGCTTCCGAGACCATCAGCGAGCTACGGTCCAGGATCATGAGCACAAGTTGTATCACAGGTTGCGAGATACGTACGGATGGGAGAAGCATGGCGCGAACGACACGAGCGACGGCAACGACCCAAAAGAGGATCAACAACCTGATAGAGCATCATCAGAATCGCATTGCGTAATCGCCCAGATAAACCCATCCTACCTCGCGGCCAACAGACCAGGGGTAAGATACAACACCCAGGGCTTACGACGCTCATACGGCGTCAAGATGATCCTCAGAGCTTCCATCGGCCTGAACCATGGCAACCGATGAGGCGTGCAAACAGACCTTCCAGGTTCGGGTTAAATAAATCAATACGGCCATCTTGGTCGATGTAATCACACTCACCTATTAAACAGAATTTCGTACGGAATCGAGACGGCCAACGCGCCCATCCCGTAGAGCAAGCCTCGAAGGATCCCGGTAGCGGGTATATGAACTTGAGAGCGTGGTCGGTATTTCGCGTGTCCCGGGATGGTCAAGACCGCCCAAAGAGTAAGAAGGATCGTCGAAACAAACGCGGGCACTAGTTTCACGCTCATCAGTCTGGTTCGTATCTTTGTTCAAGAACCGACTCACTGAATCCCTTGTACAATCCAGGTACACCCTCCAAACGATGAATCCTGCGCAACATATTGATAATCCCATTCACAGTAGGTCCAACGCGCGCTTCGGGCGCAACATGGCTACTCCCGTTGATATCCTCTTCTTGATTTAGTTGAAGGCCTTTGGGTGTATAGTTTGCACGAAGCCTGTCCGAAATCGGCCGTTAGATCCCGCTGCGGGTAACCAAGGACCAAACGACCCAAACGACATACACTCACCGAACGATAGCTCCAGCAATTGGAACAGATATAGCCAGACCTAGAGCGATAGGTCCTATCATCGCTAGGACAAACACAATAGGCGCAAAGATATTCATCGTGTCGTCTGTCGTTGGTCGGTGGCTAGCCCGTAGCAGTCTAGATGATAGTCGCGGTCAGAGAGGAACGACGACGCTCTCTCTGGCTGATGATGTACAAGACTGATGTGTACGCGTTGCCTGTAGGGTTTTGGTATTCGGCACAGACAGATCGTGGTGGACAGGATCAGGAATGGTGTGGTTGCGTTGTCGGATTTGGCAGATGGAGTAGCGCCCGGCTGCGGGTCATGATGACGTAAGGTGATGTACCTGTGCTTGGTGCTGTGTACGGGTTGCGCCTGCTATTCATACTCGGCATGTCCTATAGCACGGGTATAGTACCCCGCTCTTGTCAGTTCATGTGTGTTATATATTTTCAGCGCTAGTAGAGATTCTAGAGCGTCGCCTTCGGCAACAGCAACCTTGCTCGGGCTTAGTAGTAATGGGCCAAGTTAAATAAAGACTTTTTGTATTCAGTTGACACGAGACAGAAGGACTGAGTGGTGGTTCAGTATATATAAATAAAAACTTCAGTATATATAAATAAAAACACGAAGATTCGAAAATTCAAGATTCAGGCCTTTGGCTAAAGTCGCTTTGGTTGCCTTTCCGACTGATGATCATCGTCCAACAACGAAGACTTCCGCTTCATTGCCGACTTCGACGACGATGCTATTGGCGATGCTGGGCTAGGGTCCGTCGCAACAAGCTAGATCTTTACAGCATTTGCATAAATCTGCCACTGGCGACCTCCAAACTTTTGACCTCAGAACAGTATCTTCTCGAGAGTACATGTTATATGAAAAACTGACCCCGTCAAACTTCGAGCAACATTGTTGGGGTGAATGAGGCGATCGAATGCGTCATGTGCCTCAAGAACCCGAGGTGTGTAGTTGTTGGACCGAACGCCGTCGAAAATGAGCTGATTGTCTGCCGGAATATCCCATGTAGAGTACCGGTACCCTTCTGGGGTATCTATAAAGACTAGAGTTAGCCAAAAACCATACAATATTGTTGCCAACTGTAACGTACCGCCTTCCCAAGGACTGCCGCCTTTCTGTTGTTAATAAAGCATGAATCAGCCGCACGAAATACCAGTTATTTAAGCAATCCAGCTTACCTGTAATAGTGCACTGCGAACTTTAAGGGGGCCAAGATTACCCTGCGAGAAGCAGTAGCCTGTCTTTGGCTCAGAACCATCCTCCAAACGACGGGCGCGCTCAACAACAGCTTTGGCGCCCTTCAACTGATCGCACCACTTGGAATCTATGTTCGGATGTAGTAAGGCGGGGGGTCTAACCGTACAAACAATTCGTTTATGTTTTTCGGGATCTTTGAAGTAGTGCTAATATGATTGAAAATGAGCGAACGCATATAGTTATGTAAGTAGAGCGCTTACCTGGAACTGGCCATGAGGCGTAGTGGCCGAATCCTTCAAGCTAATCATTCCTACCCACGGCACCGTAATGTTTCCCGACGCATCGACTAGAAAAGTGCCAGGCGCGACATTCGGCTCGGCTCGAAGCATCATGGTGCTGCGTTTGCTATCTTCCACCCATTCAGCGTTGCAAGTCAAACTGGTCGAGTTTCCAATCCAGCCTGGCGACAACCGCAAACGAGCCATCACATCCGTAAATGTGAGAGGGCCAGCAGGGATTGTCGCAGAGGGCCCAGGGCTAAGGCTCAGCTTGGTATGGGGAGTAGTAGGCTCACCATCGTCGTGAGGCGAACCAGGACGGGAGGACCAACAAGTAGAACTAGAACTAGACATGGCAGATTGGTGGGTACTGGCCTGTTGCACACCCCTCCGTTTGGCCTTATATAATCTATATCCACCCCGCTCGAATTTTCGAGCATATTGCTTGAGGTTGTTTATCACTGTCAACGCAGACATACGTCGTGTAATTTTGGCGTAGTACGTGACACGTGTAGCGTCAGGCATGGAGCCTTGGGCTAGGCTACCTTCCGCGGCCGAGCGGACGTCAGTCCGCTCAATGGTAAGTCGTCAATACTATAATGGACATCGAGAAGGGTGGGAAACTGATTCGGAGCATCCGGACGGCTCGGCGCTTACAGTTTCCTATTACCCCCGCCTACTCGTTCACGGACTATCGATCCCAAGGACAGACAATCGAGTCCGTCATATTCGACATCACAAACCCTCCTACAGGAGGCTCCTTGAGTCTGTACAACATCTATATGGCGCTTTCTAGGAGCTGAGGTACAAGTGCCGTTCGAATTATGTGCGATTTTGATGCTGCACTATTGATGAAGCCACTAAATTCGTGTCTGGCGGAGGAAGAGGCCCGTTTAGAAGCTCTGGATGCGAGTACGTTTACCTAGTATAACTAAACTTTGTTTGAATTCCCTGCGTAGTACTCGAAAGCGCTTCGGGATTCGTAGATCGTAGATCGTGTATGCTGTATGGGATGAGACCTATTGTATATTGTTTATTACTCTCGTGATATGATAATATTCCACCACTGATATCTTGTTTCATTCATACACTGTTGTGTTCAACGTAACTTTATGTTCTCTTTATGTGCAGTGCAGCTTTTCTCAAAAAGAAAAGAAAAAAAAAGCAAAACCAGACTGCTATGCTTGTATTTGGGCCTGGTCACGTGATGGCTAAGGGTCATAGTGACATTTTCGAGCCGGTAGAACCTTGCCTGAGCAAGGTAATTGGTTTCAAAAGGTGTACATACTATAGTTGACTGGGAAGCGGGAAATTTGCGGAGTTTGTCCCTAGGGAACAAATCCATGATTACGCAGTAACGATACTTAGCCGGCCTGAGCTAGGGCATCGAATCTACCTAACAGTCAAGTAGGAAGATAAAATATGATCTGGAGGGGAGACAGCAAGCCCATCAATGTAAGGGGGTCCTTGACCGGGAAGCGAGAAAGACGGATCAGCCCAGAGCTGGCGGAACCGGTCCTAGACCAATGGCAAAGCTCCTATCATATTTATCCAAGTAGGAGAATGACATAGTGTTATGGATACTAACATCTTTACTTAATAGAGCCTGCTCTTGCCAACTTATATGCGGTGTCAAATGAATATTTTCTGAATTCTTATGAATATGAATGCGCCAATTTGTACAGTTTTATGTTTACATAAATTGTACTAAATTCTATCTCTTCTGCGCACTTTATTTCATGATTTTAGCTTAAGAGGTCGGCGAGATATTCATTAAACAAGTTCAGGCATCGCTTATCATAAGGTATTACTAACATATTCCGCTTATAGCTCAGCGACGGCTGACTCTATCTCGCTGATCAATAGCTTGATAGATAGCCACGCTTCGGGCGTATCTTCTCACCGAAGATCGGCCCGATCCCCGGACTCCTCGCCGAGCT